TTTAAAGACCAAGATTTTTGAGGCCTTTCATATTTTGTTCACAATGTTTTGTTGTCTATGCCATTGTTAATTAATCTTAATTGAAATGTGACCCTGAATTTCAATATTCCTTATTAGGTGATTTATCATATCATATCTCTATATCTATATATATGATTTATTTAATAAGTTATGCTTATTTTGGCATGTATCCCATGCTTACGTAAATTGTTGTATGTCCACTGACTTCAATAGAGCTGCAACAATTTATACCAACAAAGAATTTCTCTCTTTGACTGCTAACTCATAAACAGAAAGCTCTGAACTTCTCAGAGTGAACTATTAAAGCAAGAGATCAGTTCTCCTCTATGGAAGCAGGATGTGAAAGATTCCCTGCGTAGTTGCTTCTGAAACAGTGAAAGTAATTTAGGGAATTTTGGCATCGTTACACAGTAGTGCCATGGGAGTGCTGATAGTTATGGCCTAGCGTGCTAGCATCTGGATTGGATTCAAGATGGAATGACATAAGCAGGGAATAATGGGTGTCTGTTTTGTCTCTGTGGGTTGGTGTGGGGATCATGCACTGATAATGTTCCATTAAGGGATCTGTGTCATGTGAGAGACCTCCCAAGCAGATACAGCCTTTGCAGGGCGTTAGAGAGAAGAACCCAGTTTAAATAGCTTCTCTAGGTTTTTGCATAATTGAATCAGAAATTTAAAGAGAGAATATTTGGTTCTGACAGCTGAAATTATTGCAAGAATGGCTTATTAATAAATAACACCTAATTAGACAGAAATTATTCAATGATTAAGCCTTAATTTTCCATGCTTCTCATGTAGGTATTTAAATTACTCTTTAGTATTTCTTCCCTTTCAGACTATTTTAGAGTGTGTTCAGAATTATCCCAGCAGGTTCCTAGAGGAGTAAAAGACAGCTTTGTGTCATCAAATCATCCCCAATTATGTCATCAGCAGGAGCGAATACATCAACAAGTGCTCCATCAATCCAGCATTCTTTGGAAATTGATGTACAGCTACCTACTTATTCAAGGAGATGAGTCTAGTGAGGCCTTTGCAAATTAGGGGAACCCAACTGCTCCCTGCAAGAGAAGATGTGGAAGTTCTCAACGATCATTCACATTTTCAAAAGAAAAATGCGGGGAGGAAGTTTGCTGTTCATTGTATAGGTCTTAGCCTCCCCCGTTAAGCCCTGCTCCCAGTCAGCCATCTGCCAGGCCCCGCATCTGCTTTAGTCACTCTCTAATACAGAGGTGGGCTAACTGCTGCCCGCAGGCCACGTCTGGCTCGCGGGACCCTCCTGCCTGGCTCTTGAACTCTTGGCCTGGAAGGCTAGTCCCCGGCCCCTCCCCCGCTATTCCCCCTTACCCGCAGCCTCAGCTCAGTGCACCACCGGCGCAATGGGGCAGCGCAGCCGCAGAGCCCGGCCTGACCGGGTGCTCTGTGCTGCGCGGTGTGTGGCTGGCTCCAGCCGGACGGCACGGCTGTAGCACCACCAGCCACTGGTTCTCCAGGCAGCGCGGTAAGGGGGCAGGGAGGAGGGGAAGGGGGGTTGGGCAGAGGGCAAGGGAGTTCGGAATGGTGGTCAGGGATATGGATAGGATTCGGGGCGGTCAGAGGGCAGGGCACAGGAGGGTTGACTGGGGGCAGGCATCCTGGGGGGGGCAGTCAGGAAGGAGGGGGAGTTGGATGGGGTGTCAGGGGGCAGTCAGGGGCGAGGGTTCTGGGGGCAGTCAGGGGACAGGGAACAGGGGTGGTTGGATGGGGTAGGGGTCCCGGGGGGGCAGTCAGGAATGAGAGGAGGGGTTGGATGCGGTGGCAGGGGCGGGGGTTCTGGGGGCGGTCAGGGGACAGGGAGCAAGGGGATGGATGGGGCAGGGGTCCCAGGGGGGCCATCAGGGAACAGGGTGGGTTGGGTGGGGCAGGAGTCCCGAGGGGGGCGTCAGGTGGCGAGAAGCAGCGGGGTGGGGGGGGATGGATGGGGGACAGGGGCTGGGCCACGCCTGGCTGTTTGGGGAGGCACAGACTCCTCTACCCAGCCCTCCATTCAATTTCCGAAACCCGATGTGGCCCTCAGGCCAAAAAGTTTGCCCACCCCTGCTCTAATATGATGGGTGGGGGAAGTGGATAGGAAACAATATAGTGTACATTTGAAGAGAAGAAAAATATTGTCTCTGGCGTTCTCAATGAAACACTGGTTTCAAACAAACAAAAGCCATGTAAAGCTGGAGGTAGTTTCATCATGCTCGATTTCACTGACCAAGACATCCAAAAGACAAGGGGGAGAGGGTGTCGGTGGAGGAAGAGGGTCTGGCCAGAATCTACTGCCCTTCAGCGATCCTTGGAGATCATTGCAACTCCTGGGAGTGTGCCATTTTACACCAAGAGCCAAAAAGACCCTTGCAGCCTGAAGCTGCAAAAGGTGGCAAAAAGGCACATTTTCTACCTCCCCCTAGCTCCCCTTCCAGCTCTGCCTACTGAGAGGTGCAGCTCAGAATCGAGAAGTACCACTTTCGCCCTGCAGTGCACAAATTAGACAGCTCTATTTCAAACAGGAATTGATTCAGGGAAGTTCTATGGCCTCTTCTATACAGGAGGTCAGAATAGATTACCACAGTGGTCCCTTGTGGCCCTGGAATCTATGACATGCATTGCCATTGGCATGCAGAGACAGAGGGGAATACAATAAGCCCCTCCCCTTGGGTGACTGCACAAAGGCATTTCATTATAGCAACCCTTGTTCTCCCTGCACTCTGCAGAGCACATGACATGTCCATTGGCACATCCCCATGGGGAACAAGCAGGCAAAAAAGGAGGTGAGGATGAAGTGAGGACATGGCACCAGACAGAGCAGAGCAGCGCCAGTGCATGAAGGGGAGTAATCTGCTCCATTTTAAGAGAGCAATCCATTAGACTACATGTGTGCGCAAGTGCCCATCCGCATGAGTGAGGATTTCACCCTCCGTAAGGACATAAAAGGGAAATCAAAGCCAAGTGAAGCTACTAACCCTGAACATGAACTCTAGCAGATGTGATATAAAACTCCGAGTAAGTAATAGCAAAGGTGTTATTCAGAACAAAGCTCCATTTATACAAAACTAATTTCAAGTGCATCAGATGTCCTGTAGGTAACCCACCCTTTGACAGTCAGTGGGACCCCGATACGACGAGGACTACGTTGTGCCTGATAGTCACTGGCCTGAATGGAATCTGGTACAAAGAGAACCAATGAGAACTAATGTTGCTCAGCATCTCTGAAAATACAGCCACATATTTAGCTAACTAGCTTCAGACGCACCTGAGTTTGAAACTTTTGGCCTTAATTGTCATGTGCTATTCACCTTTAGACGTCTACTATAAGTAAATAGTTACCCCCTCTACATTAGCAATTTATTGAGGACCAGATGATGGACCTGTTTTTATGCTAAATAGCACCTTATTCTATGATAGTCCAACAAGGATCAATGGGATATTCTTGGAGGAAAAGGCTACTCAGCGTGAATAAATTCAGTAAAATCCACTAGTAAACAGTGACCCACTACACACATATGACACTGACAATTACAAAGACTCTCATGTTTCATGGAGCAAGCTCATCAACTAAGGTCAGGAAGGAACTTCCCCCTGTGATACAGTAGCACACAATCGGATAGATGTGTAGATCTCAAATTTTCTCAGAAATATTTAGTCTAGATCATTTTTGGGTACAAGGTACTGCATAAGATGGACCATTGGTGTCGTCCAACATAGCTACTATGGAGATCTGATCCAGCTCCCATTTAAATTAATGGCTAAAGTCCCATAGATTTCAGCTGTGCTGGACTGAGTGCTATGTTCCTATCTATGGCATTTTTAAAAAAATTCTGCACAAACTAGAAACTGGATAGAGCAGCTATAGATGAAACCTCAGTTACTAACTGACAGCAGTGCAATTCTTGAAGTAGAATCAGGATTAGGACCTAAGACAGTGACTGACTAGGGCAACAACTGACCAGTTTGGGGGTATAGCCATACTACAATAGAAACACAGGGAAGTCAGCTAAGGCACAATGGGAGCAGCCACCAGGGGGTGGATGGGGAGGGGAGAGGGAGAATGTATCTTGGCAAAATATTTTAGTTTCACCAAGAACAGAAGTGTCAGTTTCACTCACTTTCTAAGCCTCCAACTGCAAAGTCTACAGGAAATTGACAAAAGGGACCATGTTTCTCTCTCATTACAAAAATGCCACCTTACAAACTTCAGGGAGATTGCACAGATGTAAAAAAGGGCATACGTTTTTCCAATATATCTTTAGATAGCCAGTCAGGAGGTTAAATTCAAGACTTAGTATTATTTAATTTTTATTTATTTGTCACACTGTCAAACTATATTGAAGGGTACATTTTTCGCTGTTCATTCTAGTATAAAATTTTAAGAAAACAGAAATCATTCTATATTGCCAGTGCTTAACATATTTGCCACCTAACCAGGTATATTAAATAAACTATATATTTTTCTGTACATAAAAATGTCCCATTATAATAAAAATAGACCATTTGGGAACACTGTTGGTATGAATGAAGTCCTCTAAAGCAACAACAAATATCATTAAACAATAATAATGTTTACTATTATTATGAATCCATGTAGTCCACATAATATCTAAGGATAGTACTCTGCTCACACTAAACCTAAGTAGATGGAAGTTCAAATTCAGCAGACATGGAACTTCCATCATATAAATACTAAACACAATTTTTTCTCTTCCATAAACATAAATATTGGATTTGACAGAAATTAGTTTTGGACTGAGAGTGCTGCTATGCTGGGTGGAGTTGCAGTTAAACTCCTTAGTTTAGCTGTGCTGAGATCCCCTGGTTAGGATAACACATCAGCTATTCAATGTTCTAAAACATGAGCTCATGTGGAGATTAATTAAAATAGGTTTTAAGGTTAATTAGATAATAAGGACATTAAAGTTACTGATAATGTGACACTGTTATTACTCTATATTTCTATACAGAAAAGGAATTTAAAAGACTGGTACAGTCTGACCACTGTGAAATGAACATGTTGGCTTAGGAAGAGACTATTTGAGCTGCAGCTGGTAGTGCCATTCTGGATGCTTTTTGTGGAGAGTACAGAACTCAGCATATCTGACCTTTACCTTGAATCACCTCATCAGAAAGAAGTGAGGTATGTGCTGGATGTTTCAGTGTTTTTCTTCACTGACTGTGAATGGAATGGCTTGTTTTATGGGAAATGCCCTATTTTACTATTCACAGATACAATTAAAATTGCTTAATAGCTACAATTCACTGGGTTGTACTTGAGGTGGTAAATAGATTCAGCAGGACTAAAAGTAATTGCCACTCAACCAGTTGTGAGGGATAGAGTACAGAACGAATCCCCTCTTAGACACCCTTTAATAAGGCAATAGTCAACATTAAAGAGCTGTAGAGTAACTTCATGAGTGATAAGAGTCATAGAGAAGCTCAAAGTGTATAGCTACCTGACTCCCCCCCAAAAAACATGTTTACACTGTGATGCTGCATCAGTATGACTATCATGATATTTTGAGACAATGCCATGAGGCAAACATGGCAGAGTAGCATCATGCCACATTTTGGGGATTTTCAAAAATTCTACTTGATGCAGCCTCCCTCTCCTCTCCACCCACTCCTAACCCTTCCAACTTCCTGGATGTTGGAAATGTCAAAACAAATTTACCTCAACAACCCTAGTTCCTTTACAAGGCAACCCTGCTCTGCCTCAGGGGTGTGTCAATCAACGTGGGGAGAGCTTCTGTGAAGGATGCTCGGCTTGAAGAGGAGCAGACAAAGCAAAAGAAGCTGCAATCATCCTTGCAAATGCCAGGAGAGCCATAAGTGAGATTTTGAAGAACCCCAGGAAGCTGTCTTAATATTAAAACTTATCAGGGTCTCTGAAACAATGATCAAGTTTTGCTAACCTTTTGGTCAACGTGATTGCAGTTCCAGACCAATGCCCTCCACTTGGATCTGCTTTCCCTGACAGGACCTGGGCCAATGTAATATTTTCCTGTCTTTTAATGGGAACAGGCTCTCTTTCCAGCTAGTCTTCTCCCCATCTTCATTTTTTTTTTTGGAGCGGGGGGGGGGCAACAAACAAAGGAGGGATGGGGAGTAACAAAACAGACCCTCTCCCCATTTCTCCAAAATCCTATGAACTTTGCAGGGAACTGAACACCCTACCCCTTCCCTTTTCCTAGCATGATGCAGGATAACCTGCACATATTCCTCCATTTCTGCTGCTGCCCCTTCACTGCCAGTTGCCTCCTTCTGGGGCAGCTCAGCCCCACAAGGAAAGCACCTGTGTCAGGAAGATTCCTCAGGGCAAATAACGAAACAACAGGGACAATGCATAAAGCACTAATTGATAAATCTAGGTCTAAAATGGATGTGTAACCTCTTGAACAAATAAGCAGTTACACAAAGCTTGACTGAATTCATATCCCTGGATATTCAAACGTTGACTGTTCCCATAAAAACTTCAGCAAATTTTGTTTCATTTAAAGGGTATGTGTCCTCTTTCTGAGATTATGTCCTCTCTGAAATAGTGCCACTTCTATTGTACACTTGGCACCATGATTCTAGAAAAAAATATCAGTTAAATAAGATTAGGACAGTTGAACTGACTTAATGCCCTGGGACCAACTCAGTTCTCAGTCATCAACAATGGTTCTCTCTTCATTTTGCTACGAAATGAGTGTGTGTTTGAAGAAATGAGTGTGTGGTGTGTGTGTGTGTCAGAGGGGAGATAAAGCAAAAAAAGTGATAGATCAGATGAGAGATTTCATACATTAAAAACAATGAAGGTTTTCAATGCAGTTTCAGTTCTTGTGAAAATTAAGTATCCTGGAGTTATTGTTTGTGGAAAAAACATATTAAGATATTACTCCATTGTCCTTTCTTGGCACAAAGGGATTATGATAGATTTTAGCATTTGCTATAGTTTCCCATGACTACACTTTTTGATTACCCTTAATTTTAATTCATGCAATTGCAGAATGAAAAGTTAAAAGCTCTAATAGTACAGCCATTAGTTCTTATGCTTTATTTAAAAATTCTATTTGCACACTGTTGCCATTTTGCAGCCTTTAAAAAATACAAAACAAACTTTAGTGCATAAAAAGCAGAACTTCTCAGAAAAACAAAGACTAGTAGAACAGAGTTCAACGATGTATAAAAATACCTGTATAAAAATCCCCTTGCGCAAACATGTCAATCACATAGCGACAGAACGCATATTGATCTAACAGAGCAGAAAGGAAAAAGAGCAATGAGGAAACTAAGTTTAAAGGCCTTTTTTTCCATGCAGCAATGAAGATAAAGCTTAGCAGTGACAAATCACATTTTTGGCTATTTTTGTGATGTTTTCTCTGGGTATTTTTTTCCAGCCTTAAAGTAATTCTCTCTCTCTCTCTCTCTCTCTCCCTCTCTCTCTCACACACACACACACACACACACGACTGTTCAGGGTCTTATTTCAGGCCACCAGGTCATAGACTTCAGAGTTAAAGCTGGAACTCTGTCTTTAAGTCCTCATTCTGTGTTCAGGTATTGAAGTACAGTTAGGGGTGATATTCACCTGCATAAAGTTTGAGTAGTATTAAGGTTCTAAGTGGGGGAGGTTAGAGAAGTGGAATTCACCACTAACCCAGCACCAGCTGCACAGCTCCCCATGCTGCTGTTCCTGCCTTTGAACTAGAAAAACAGCCATAATCCTTCAGTGCTGGTTTCAACTTTAGGGCCCAATCTGGCAAACACTATCACGTGTTATGCTTGTGAGCCAGAGTTTTGCTTATGAACCAGAGTTTTTCCATTAAAGTCAATGAGACTACTCACAGTGGAAAGGTAATGGCAGGAGCACACTCTTAGTTCTGAATTTCCTCACTTCAGTGGATTTAAGACAGAACCTTTATATCATGTCATCTTCAATTTCTGAACATGGCTTAGTGAGGAATTTAAATTTTTTATTCACTGGTTACTTTTAAACAGAAGAAGAGTATAAAAATATTGCTAGGGCATGTAGGAATGTTATCAGGAGGGCCAAATCGCACCTGGAGCTGCAGCTAGCCAGAGATGTCAAGAGTAACAAGAAGGGTTTCTTCAGGTATGTTGGCAACAAGAAGAAAGCCAAGGAATGTGTGGGCCCCTTACTGAATGAGGGAGGCAAACTAGTGACAGAGGATGTGGAAAAAGCTAATGTACTCAATGCTTTTTTTGCCTCTGTCTTCACTAATAAGGTCAGCTCCCAGACTGCTACGCTGGGCATCACAAAATGGGGAAGAGATGGCCAGCCCTCTGTGGAGATAGAGGTGGTTAGGGACTTTTTAGAAAAGCTGGACGTGCACAAGTCCATGGGGCCGGACGAGTTGCATCCGAGAGTGCTGAAGGAACTGGCGGCTGTGATTGCAGAGCCATTGGCCATTATCTTTGAAAACTCGTGGCGAACCGGGGAAGTCCCGGATGACTGGAAAAAGGCTAATGTAGTGCCAATCTTTAAAAAAGGGAAGAAGGAGGATCCTGGGAACTACAGGCCAGTCAGCCTCACTTCAGTCCCTGGAAAAATCATGGAGCAGGTCCTCAAAGAATCAATCCTGAAGCACTTGCATGAGAGGAAAGTGATCAGGAACAGCCAGCATGGATTCACCAAGGGAAGGTCATGCCTGACTAATCTAATCGCCTTCTATGATGAGATTACTGGTTCTGTGGATGAAGGGAAAGCAGTGGATGTATTGTTTCTTGACTTTAGCAAAGCTTTTGACACGGTCTCCCACAGTATTCTTGTCAGCAAGTTAAGGAAGTATGGGCTGGATGAATGCACTACAAGGTGGGTAGAAAGCTGGCTAGATTGTCGGGCTCAACGGGTAGTGATCAATGGCTCCATGTCTAGTTGGCAGCCGGTATCAAGTGGAGTGCCCCAAGGGTCGGTCCAGGGGCCGGTTTTGTTCAATATCTTCATAAATGATCTGGAGGATGGTGTGGATTGCACTCTCAGCAAATTTGCGGATGATACTAAACTGGGAGGAGTGGTAGATACGCTGGAGGGGAGGGATAGGATACAGAAGGACCTAGACAAATTGGAGGATTGGGCCAAAAGAAATCTGATGAGGTTCAATAAGGATAAGTGCAGGGTCCTGCACTTAGGACGGAAGAACCCAATGCACAGCTACAGACTAGGGACCGAATGGCTAGGCAGCAGTTCTGCGGAAAAGGACCTAGGAGTGACAGTGGACGAGAAGCTGGATATGAGTCAGCAGTGTGCCCTTGTTGCCAAGAAGGCCAATGGCATTTTGGGATGTATAAGTAGGGGCATAGCGAGCAGATCGAGGGACGTGATCGTTCCCCTCTATTCGACATTGGTGAGGCCTCATCTGGAGTACTGTGTCCAGTTTTGGGCCCCACACTTCAAGAAGGATGTGGATAAATTGGAGAGAGTCCAGCGAAGGGCAACAAAAATTATTAGGGGTCTGGAACACATGAGTTATGAGGAGAGGCTGAGGGAGCTGGGATTGTTTAGCCTGCAGAAGAGAAGAATGAGGGGGGATTTGATAGCTGTTTTCAACTACCTGAAAGGGGGTTCCAAAGAGGATGGCTCTAGACTGTTCTCAATGGTATCAGATGACAGAACGAGGAGTAATGGTCTCAAGCTGCAGTGGGGGAGGTTTAGATTGGATATTAGGAAAAACTTTTTCACTATGAGGGTGGTGAAACACTGGAATGCATTACCTAGGGAGGTGGTAGAATCTCCTTCCTTAGAGGTTTTTAAGGTCAGGCTTGACAAAGCCCTGGCTGGGATGATTTAACTGGGAATTGGTCCTGCTTTGAGCAGGGGGTTGGACTAGATGACCTTCTGGGGTCCCTTCCAACCCTTATATTCTATGATTCTATGAATCCAAAGTTCACTCTCACAGGCATGTTTGAAAGTTCAGTCCACCTGTAAACTGAGGAGCTGATTTTGCCGATAGACCCAATGGCTTCCTTAGACCCCATAATATTCCATGTTAAATTTTCTCATTCAATAACATTTTAGAATCATAGAATATCAGGGTTGGAAGGGACCTCAGGAGGTCATCCGCTCAAAGCAGGACCAATTTCCAATTTTTGCCCCAGATCCCAAATGGCCCCCTCAAGGATTGAACTCACAACCCTGGGTTTAGCAGGCCAATGCTCAAACCACTGAGCTATCTCTCCCCCCCCCCCTTTCTAACAGAGTGTTTTGTTAATATGATTTTAGAACTTTTCAAAGTCCAATAAAAGAGAAAAAGAGAGAGAGAGAGAGAGAGAGAGAGAGAGAGAGTTTACTCAACAGGAATATAAACAGGGCCCTGTGTACACTGCAATTCAACAGCTGTGGAAGTTGCCACAGAATCATGTTCCAGATGCTAAGCTTTAATTTTTTTTTAAATGAAACTAAGAAGGTCAGGATACCTGGCATTAGGCTTCTCAGGTTATATCTACATCACACATTAAGGAGTGATTGCAGTGCAGACTGGCATACCCACATTAGCCTTAATCTAGCTGGTGTGAGGAATAGCGGTAGTAAGGCCATGGTGGCATAGGCTTTGGTGGTGGCTAGCCATCCTAGTATGAGCCCATCAGGGGCTCTGGGTACCTATTGTGTTTGCTGGCCTGTGCCAGGTTCCATGCCACTGTTTCTTCACTGATACTGTCTTGTTACCTGTGCTTGTTAGATTAAAGCTATCACACCTTCATTTGTGGTGTAGATGTACTTTAAGTCTAAAAAGTGACCAAGAAATGCTAGCACCAATTGATTTCAACTTTAGGCACCCATTGTGAAAAACCTTGGTCAAAGTTTCTAACATTTGCAGGGGTGAAGAAAATCGTTCAGTTGTGGACTGAGTGCAAACTGATTGCAGGGATGTCTGCTTAAGTCTGCAGTTAGCTTGAAACAATAGCTCTAATGGAAAGGTAAACTGCCCCATTCATCTCAAAGATATGTTAATTTTGAAAGCTAATGATGACAGTTTAAATGTCAACATTGTTTAACCATTGATGATTTTAGGACTAACATCCAGTTAGCGTACTTCTCCAATAATCCCAGACCGCCTCCAAACCTTCCTAGCCTAGGAGACCAAACAAAACAAAAAATCCCATTTATCCCCTACTCACCTATCAAACCGAGCAGCTTTGACAACTTCTGTTATGTAATTATGTGTTTTCCAAAAAAAAAAATAAAGATTACGCAAGCTTTTGAAAATTAAAAATGTAGAACCAACATAAATTCAATTAGAAACTTACATAACAGAAATTACAGAGTGCTGATGGTATTGTTTATGTTCATACTTAATTCCCCCAAATCTCAATATTTAATTTATCTCAAGCTGCTGCAAGATTTCCTGCCACTGCCCTGGAGTGCCACAGAATTCCAGTCCCTTGCTGTAGAATTCAGGTCAAGCTTCCCATGGAGTACAAAGATCCTTGACTATAAACAGTTCTTGTGAAGCCTTTAAAGTCTACTGTATCATTCTGTAAAGGACCGCAAAAAAATAAATGTTTATCTGATAAATCCAAAAGTGGCTGGAAAAACTATTTTCTTAAAAAAATTCTACATATGAATTTATAAAGATATAATTTTGATTGAAAACCTAATAATCCATTCGGATTGGGTACAGTCTGTCTGTCAACAAACACATAGGGACTTTAAGGTATTTGGCTGGCACAAGTGCATTAAGTCTATGCACTAAAATAAAAATATTCTGTGAAACAAGAAAAGGACACATGAAAGAAAAATGAATCCTCCCAAAGGGCCCATCCAAAGCCTAATGAAGGCAATAGACGGGCTCCCATTGACTTCAGTGGGTTTGAGATCAGGGCCTAAAGGCATTAGTCCATTATTGACTAGAAGCCTGCAACATTTCATATATATGAAAGACCATTTTTTAACCTGAGGAAGGCAAAAACAGATCTGAACTAGTTTCTTTCCCCTTTATGTTACTGTAATTTTAAAACAGTCAAAAAATGTTTAATTATTCCTAGGTAGAGATATTTTATGCTAAATTTCAGTCCTCGGAATTTTTTTTTAGTTACTTTGCCCCTGAAAATAATGTTTTGTAATGGAAATGCAGTCATAATGTTGAATTGCCATAACACAAATAACACTACTGTTGTATATGAAACAGTAAGATGATCATGTTCCCATTTATGTCAATGGGAAATTTTTGTCAATGATATCAATGCAAGAAACATGCCCTCAGGATTTCAAATAAAGATGCAATTTTCCATTGATACTTGATACTTCAGGGCCAAAGATTCATTTTAAGTGAAGGTTTCCTATTGAAAGAAGGATTTACTTCAGGGTTTCCACCTTGTAACGCCATCACACTGGAGGTGAATTGATTTGGAAACATCTGATATTCACCAGTGTTCTCAGATATGCTGCCGTCACTTTGAATCTGAACCAATTTCTCAGAGCCTGAGCCTGAAAAAAGTGTTGAGTGCATCCTGCAATGTGCCAAGCTCCTAACATAGTGAATAGGAACTGAGGTGACTGACGCCTTGCAGGAAAAGCACAGCACCTTGGTGGATCAGTCCACTGGTCAAAACAATCAGGGTGCAGGAAGCTGCTTTAATCTCCTCACGTTCCATTATGCCTAAAAGGTTCCAGTGTTTCATGTGAAAACTAAATTTAGCTGGAATGTAAACAAATGTAAAAAATGCTAACTCAACAGATAATGAGTGTCAGGAAAGGAGCCATGTTTTTCCTAGGCCTCCAAATCTTTTAACAATTATTTTCAGAAGTCTAAACATGTATATTTTAGGTAAAATATTCAGTAATTGTGAACACTGGTCCTTGTTTTCTCAATGAAACATTCACATGCAAAATGAATCTTTAGCTATGTCACTAACAGTTGTCATGCTGGCGGCTTAGCTTAAGCATCTTTGTTTGTTTCGTTTCCATTTAGTGATCTGAGACCCAATGGGGATTGGCAGATACTATTATTTTTTTTTCCATGTCTGCAGTTTGACTTTGATCTCTGCCAGCTTTAAGTTCACTGTCTCTGTTTCTTTCCCACTACTCTTTTAGGATCTTCAGCTGATTCCTCCTGGTTTTGTTTACCTTTCTTTTCTGATTTTGTTTCAGCCTTCACTGCTTTCTCCTCCTTCACTTTCGGTTTGGCCTTTATTAACCCAATGTCCTCTACTTTTGCTTCTGTCTGCTTGCCTTTTTCAGCTGTCTTTGTTTCAGCTTTTCCATCTTTCACTTCCTTTTTAACTTTTTCTTCAACTTTGGTGCTCTTCGCTTTCTTCTCTTCTGCACGTAATAAAGAAATGTGTCAAAATCATTCTTTCCTGAATAAATAACATCAAGCACTTTTAAATTCAATTAATCATAATGTATTATTTCTTTAGTGCTAACAATTTACACAACAACAACAAAATACAGGTAGTCCCTGTCCTGAACAGCTTACCGTCTAATCAAGATGGACACAGAGAACAAGACAGAATGGGAAGCCCAAAGGAACAAAGGCATATAAATCACTCTAAACAAACTAGTGGATAAAATACTAAGAAGTTCTATTCCTTTTATAAAGTGTATTAATGATATACAGTGCCTTTCATTATGAGGAGGGAAATAATGTTCTTCCTGCCATAGTAATGAGTCAAGTGACTCATTCTGGTGATGCCATGATCTTATTCTGTTACTATGGGCAACTCATAACCAGTTTCTGCCTCAGCTGCTCTATATGTAACATTGGATATAAGGACAGTGCTCTGCCTTGCTGGTATATTACATGGCTTTGTTGTTAAGGTTTGTTACGTTCTTTGAGATCATCAGATGCAAGACGCTACACAAGTGAAATGTTTTCACTCTATCTGAGAGCACTTAGAGCTGAGCAGGAAATGATTTTCGCATCTCATTGGAATCTGAGATACTGAAAATTTGTTACATTCTGAGTTGGGACAAAAAGACAAAAATCTAAAAGAAAATTGCAAACTGAAAAGCTGAACAAAATTTCAGATAGATTAATCGACACATTTCATTTTGATAATTTTGAAATTCATTTTGACTGACTTTTTCAACTTTTTAATTATTTTTATTATCAGTTAGTTTACATTTCAATATGAAAAGCCAATTTTTCAAACTTTTTTCCAAACCAACCCTTTCCCACAGAAAGTTTCATTTTTGATGAATCAGTGTTTTCTGATGAAAAAAAATTTTCATGGAAAATTTTCTGACCAAGTAATGAATTAAGCTTCACAACACCTGCCTGGTTGGGAATTAGAAAATTATTATACTTCTTTCAAATATGTGTAAAAGGAGGAACACACAATGATTAAAGACCCTATCAATCACCCATTAAAGTCAATGGAGAGATTCCCATTAATTTCAGTGGAGCCGGATCAGGACCTACATGACTTGCCCACGGTCAGAGTAGCCAGTCAGTGACACAATCAGAAACAATCAGATCTACTGGATCCAAGCTTTGCAATCCAAGCGTATATGTAGCCAGTCATTAAGAGGAAAGCATCTCTAAGAACTGCAATACGGTACAGTTTCTAGTTTAGTTAGGTCAGGCTGGGTCACACCTACAATACACAAGCTGCAGTTTTCTACAACATCTTACCTTAATAAAATCATTGTGATTATTAATAATATCTAGCCTTATCTGGCGAAGAACTGTTTTTCAGAGTCCTTTTTTATTCTTAAATGGCTCCCTCTAATTAAGAGCACCCGTAGTACACTTCTGCCAGTGCACAAGTAACCTTGCCAACCTTATGATACCTTGAATCTGGAGAGTGAGCCCAAGTTTGGTAATAATGAATCATCCATGATTTTGTGTGCTAATGTTGTGACATCATCATAGGTGATGGCTCACTAACTATCATCATCAGGTGATATTCTCACTGCAGACTGTATCAGATTGGCCTCTAGACAATTACACATTAAAGACTGTGGAAGCTACTAAAAACAGTTTTCAGATGCAGTCATCCAGGGGCCAATCTGATACACAGTCCTCAGTGGAAATGTCAGGCACTTTACAGGCTGGGGCACCAAATAGAGAACAGGTCTAATCAAGCCACATGCAGCTGTAGCCAGGTCAGTCCTAGGATATTAGAGAGAAGATAGGTGAGATACCTTTTATTAAAGCATCTTCTGTTGGTGAGAGAGAAAAGCTTTCGAAGAGCTCTTCTTCAGATCTGGAAAACTAATCAAGCCATAAGCAGACACTTCAAGCTGCATCAGGAGCATAATAAGTAGTGTGCACTAATTAACTTATTTGAGCATAAGCTTTCGTGAGCTACAGCTCACTTCATCGAATGCATTCAGTGCATTCAGCTGTAGCTCACAAAAGCTTACGCTCAAATAAATTGGTTAGTCTCTAAGGTGCCACAAGTACTCCTGTTCTTTTTGCGAATACAGACTAACACAGCTGCTACTCTGAAACCACTAATTAACCTGGTTTTTCAGAGCCCAAGCTCCAAATTCTGTTTATGTGCCTGTAAATGAAGTTGATGGGAGCTGAGAGCATGTGCCTGAGGGTAGAATTTAGCCCTCTCTAAGTGTGCTGCTTCTGAAACTCTCAAGGTTATTTGACCTTGAGGCAGAACTCTAGAAGTTGCTGCAAAATTCATGTCTCCCATAATGCGGTGGTACAGCAATTCCAGCTAAACCAAGGGTGGGCAAACTTTTTGGCCCGAGGGCCACATTGGGGTTGCAAAACTGTATGGAGGGCCAGGTAGGGAAGGCTGTGCCTCCCCAAACAGCCTGGCCCCGCCCCCTATCTGACCCCTCCCACATCCCACCCCCTGACTGCCCCCATCAGAACCCCCGACCCATCCAACCCCCCTGCTCCTTGTTCCCAGACCGCCCCCTCCCGGGACCCCCCGCCCAGAGGTGAAAGTAAGTCGGTACGGTTCGGTACAGCGTACCGGCAAAAGCTGGTACGCCGTGCCAGACAGGCTTCCCTGGCAGTGATTTAAAGGGCCGGGGCTCCAGCAGCTGCGGGGAGTCCCAGGCCCTTTAAATCACCGCCAGAGCCCTGCCGCCACTACCCCGAGCAGCGGCCGGACCCCTGGCCCTTTCGGCCACTGCAGGGAGCCCCGGGTAGTGGCAGCAGGGCTCCCGCGGTGATTTAAAGGGCCCTGAGCTCCCAGCCGCCTCTGCAGCAGGTAGCTCCAGGGTGATTTAAGGGCCCTGGGACTCCCAGCCACAGCTGGAGCCCGGGGGCCTTTGAATCTTGATTTAAAGGCCCCACCTCTTCCGGTTGAGGCCACACCCCCGCTCAGTACTCCAGCATACCGGTAAATCCTTTCACCCCTGCCCTGCCCCTATCCAAACCCCCCCCCCGCTCCCTGTCCCCTGACTGCCCAGACCCCTATCCACACCTCCACGCTCTGACAGGCCTCCTGGGACTACCATGCCTTTCCAACCGCCCCCTGCTCCCTGTCCCCTGGCTGTTCCCAGGAACCCCCCCTGACCTCCTTACCATGCTGCTCAGAGCAGCATGTCTGGCAGCTGTGCTGCTGCCTTGCTACCCTGCAGGAGCATGTAGCCCCGCCGCCCAGAGCACTGCCCGCATGGCTGCAGGGGAGGGGGGGCATCAGAGGAGGGCCCGGGGGCTAGCCTCTCTGGTGGGGAGCTCAAGGGCCAGGCAGGACGGTCCCATGGGCCGGATGTGGCCCGCGGGCCGTAGTTTGCCCACCTCTGCGCTAAAATTGGGACTGTCCCTAAAAAATTGGGATATCTGGTCACCCTACCTGGCTTGAAGTGGTTTCCAGTATATAAAAGGCTTACAGTTTGGTTCAATAGCTCTCACCTCCACTATAAAAATTATTCCAACACCCCTGCTAAAATTCTTGGCTGATCTTGTAAGTGACATTTAGTAAGCCTGCTCTCGACTTTCTCTATGATACAGTTACACATGGTTTTATTCTGATTATCTTCAGCGATCTATTTTTTGTACTATCTTAAAGAAGATCAACAAGTATATTTTATTTACTAAAAATTCCCAGTATATCGCTTACTTTCATACACATTCACTCTCTGCTTACTCAAAATAAAGGTTAAACTTTTCAGCATAAACTGTTGTAAAATTAAAATGTAATGAAAAGGAACAGTTACCTTTAGGAGGAGCTTTCTTTTCAACTTTTTCCTCTCTTTCAGGTTTGTCTTTTTGAATTACTAAAATGAATAAAAATTATACTTTTCTTTACAAAAATTGTTGTGAAAACTGACGAAAAAGAGTTGCCAAAACACAACATCACATAATCATGACACATCTTGCGAACCTATGTCTATTTCATGTATTTACAGTTTACTTCACATTTCCCTCTTTTAAAAAAAGGTTCTGGGTTGTATGAGTCAGTTACGCACATATAAATTGGTGATGTTTTAGCAGCTATCAAACAGAACTCTGAGGTGGCATGCAGATTTAAATCACTTTTCCATGAGGTTTCATTCTGCAACACAGAAGCATATCAATATTCTACTCTGATACTTCTCTCCTTCCTCTCCCTGATTACCATTAAGCCATATTTCACGGGAACAAAACAGCGCTGAAAGTTATCTTCACTTCATTCAAGTGGCAGCTAAATAACAGCAACATTCTCTTTTAACACATTCCACTCTGGAATGGACATTCAATGCTATGGTCTCCTGGGTGTATGCTTTTTAGCTGATGTGTTTAGATGGTGTTCTTGCCAATATACGTTCTTGGGCCCCTTTATCAGGGAAAAAAAGCTACCTTGAAGTCTGCTTACTCAACCTTCAGATTTTACAGTAACAGCCGTATTAGTCTGTATCAGCAAAAAGAAAAGGAGGACTTGTGGCACCTTAGAGACTAACACATTTATTTGAGCAGAAGCTTTCGTGAGCTACAGCTCACTTCATCGGATGCATGCACCTTCAGAGGATCTCCTATGAGTAGGGGGAATTTTAAATGGTTTAGAACCATCATAATGGCTCCTACACCACAATCTCTCCCTGCAGCTAGAATTACATTCATTGCCTGGGCATCCTCATGCCCCAGTGATCCCCAGCTGCTGGAATGACCCTTAGCACTACTGGCAGCTGATGTGACACAGAACAAACCTCAGATAAGATGAGAAGTGGCCTGACACACACTGATGCAGGAAATGTGTTTGGGGGAGGGGCAGCTAAAATGAATGAGATGTGCCCTAAGCAGATCCACAGGAACTGTTGATGCACAGAATCCTCCCTCAGGATTTGGGGCTGGTCTACACTAGAAAATTAGGTTGATTTAATTATGTCAGTCAGGGGTGTGAAAAATCCACACCCGAGTGGTGTAGTTAAACCAACCTAAGTCCCTATGTAGACAGCGATTTCATTAAGCTAGCTACCACCCCTTGGGAAGATGAATTACCTATGGTGACGGGAGAATCCCTAGCTACTAATACAGCCAAAGCGCCAACCACTAACCAAACAGAACTCTTCACAAAATACATTGACCAGTCACGGGCACATTTAATACATCAAAAAATAGATGGATAGACAGGCAGAGCATACATTAGGGATGTCTGAACCTCATGGAGTTTGGGATGGAGACAGCTGGGTTTTTTTGCATTCTCAAGACTAAACTGAGTTTGTGAATTTTTATTTTCTATGAAGACCACCCCTGATTTACTTCAGGGCAATTCAATTTTAAAAAACATACTTTTCTAGCTAAGGGAAAGTTTGTGCTACACATTTAGGATAGTATATCCCAGCCGTATCCCTTCCCCCAAAGGGATACCAGATAGTAGCTGCCTTTTATTATTATAGTCACGTTTTCATTCACATTTTTCTCTCCATTCCCATTTCCTTTTTCCACACCTTTCCTTAGTGGAAGGTGAACCTAATAAAGTCTGATTCAAGCATTCCAATCCACTGTGTCACTGTGTTTGAACAGCTTCAAAATCAAGCAAAATTAATTTCCGAGAGCCCATTTTCACTCCATTAGCATATTAATGGTTCCAGATCTAATCCTAGTCTGACTAAAAAATAAGGAAGAGACAAAGATTAGAGACTACGTCTTCATTTCAGAGTCAACTTGGGTGATCAGCACCAAAGTCTAAGCACCTAGGTTAATTTAGTATGGGTGCGAGTGTCTGCACTACAAAGCCCTACCCACGTTATCATGTCCTCACTCATTCTGCACTCACTTGTGTGTGTCTGGGGCATATCCCATGGTTCTTTGGATACACTCTAGCATTCATTTTCACTCAGTTGTGCCAACTGCAGGAGACACTGTCTGTCCTTTGGAGGGAATTTTGGGAAGGCCATTGGAGGACAATCAGTACTTGACGGATTTTGATTGAGTCATCACGGCGAAATAAGTGGGTACCAGACAGAGTTAAATCAGAGCCCAGGCTCAGTCTAACTGATATTCCCAGCCAAATCAGATAGCCCTGGATTAATGCACGTCTAACCCCAAGTCAGCTGTTTTTCTGTGTGGGTTGGAAGGGAGAGGAGATGCGGCTAAAACCCGGTTATGAGCCCAGCTTGTCTATGCAGTGAAGATGTACCCTAACCCAACCCAGTACAGCAGCATCTGGTCCCCAAAAAGCAAAGTCTTTAACACAAAAGTAAATATGCAGGAACCCACAGTCAATCATCAAAGATTTATAAATGCTATGGTCAACAAAGGTTTCAGAGTAACAGCCGTGTTAGTCTGTATTCGCAAAAAGAAAAGGAGTACTTGTGGCACCTTAGAGACTAACCAATTTATTTGAGCAAATAAATTGGTTAGTCTCTAAGGTGCCACAAGTACTCCTTTTCTTTATGGTCAACAAAATGAATTGGTGGAGGAGGCTAAATGAATTCGGAAAGTCTCCTATCTGAAGTGTATTTAAAGATAGGATTTTCAATTGAAAGAATACCAAAAACCCACCCGCACATGCCCTGTTGCCCCAGAATATGTGTGGTAATTGGAAGATACGTACATTTTATCCAAGGCATATTTGCCTTGCTAGACAGAAAAAGTGCAATTTCTATCAGTGAAAAACTGCACAGATCATGTGCTGGAACAAAAAGGTTGTTGCAATAAATAAAAGCAAGAAAATGAACAGCTATTTTTGGATATAAGAGAAGACACAAAGCAAGAGATGGTAAACACCATCTCAGAAGAGTCTCCACTAAATTGAAAACTGATACAAGTGAGAAAGCCTTTGTTACAGTCAAATCCCTGAATCCAGTTTTGGAGAAGAGGACAAGAAGAAACAAAAACACAATACTCAGTTGCTCATTACTCTAGCTACGCAAGAATGGTTCATGGACTCCTTGTATTACAAAACAGTAGAACTAAGCAAGAAATATGTTGTACAAAACTTAAGATAGGAATTGCTCAAGGCCTTTAGCCAAATATAGGGTTGCCAAATTTCTAATCGCACAAAACCGAACACCCTAGCCCTGCCCCTTCTCTGAGGCTCTGCCCCTTCCCCGAGGCCCCTTCCCCTGCTCACTACATTCCCTCTCCCTTGGTGGTTCGCTCTCTCCCACCCTCACTCACTTTCAATGGGCTGGAGCAGGGGGTTGGGGTGTGGAAGGGGGTGAGAGCTCCCACTGGGGGTGCAGGCTCTGGGGTGGGGCTGGGGATGAGGGGTTTGGGGTCCAAGAGGGGGCTCCAGGCTGAGGGGTAGGGCTGAGGGATTTGGAATGTGGGAGAGGGCTGGGGGTTGAGACGGGGTGGGGTGCAGGAGGGAGTACAGACTCTGGGCTAGGGGTGAAGGCTCTGGGGTGGGGCTAGGGATGAGGGGTTCAGGGCATAGGAGGGGTCTTTGGGCTGGGATAGGGGGTTACGGAGTGGGGGGTGAGGGCTACGGCTGGGGGTGTGGGCATCTGGGGTGGGGCCGAGGATGAAGGGTTAGGAGTGCAGGGGGGCTCCAGGTTTGGGGGAGGCTTAGGTCTGGGGCTGGGGCATGGGGTTACCTCAGAAGGCTCCTGGTTAGTGGTTCTGTGAGTCTAAGGCAGGCTCCCTGCCTGTCCTGGCTCCGCGCTGCACCCGGAAGCGTCCAGCAGGTCCAGCTCCTAGGTGGGGGGGCTGACAAGGGGGCAGGAGGCTCCACGCATTGCTCTCACCAACAGGTACTGCCTCCCCATCTTCCATTTGCCACAGTTCCCAGCCAATTGGAGTGCAGAGCCAGTGCTCGGGGCAGGGGCAGTGCGCAGAGCTCTGTGGCCCCTGTGGCTAGGAGCCAGACCTGCTGGGTGCTTCTGGGATGCAGTGCCGTGCCAGGACAGGTAGGGACTAGCTATTAGACTTTTAACGGCCTGGTTGGCGATGCTGACCAGAGCCACCAGGGTCCCTTTTCGACCCAGCGTTCCGGTCAAAAACCAGACACCTGGCAACCCTAGCCAAATAGGCCCAAGGAAAGATTAGTTTATCATCAAAGAAGTCATTCTGAAACAACTACACACTCTAAACAGACCTCCACACCCCAAAAAGGAAAAAAGAAAAACCATAAAATAATACTAAATCTAAAACTAATCAATAATTACCTTTTGGAGGTGCTTTTTCAGCTTTCTCCTGTTTTTCAGGCTTGGTTTTGTGAGCAACTGCAAATAAACAGACACAATATTGTACTTATTTAAAAAGACAAAGAGTTCAGATGAAATGAGTAAGCAAAAAACTATTTCAACTGACACCTGGATGCTGGGGCCTGATTGTGTGAAGAAGGAACAGGGCACATTCAGCTACCATTCACTTCAACTCACAAGGTTGTCCCCAAATTAGAGAGCTCACATTTTGTTACATTTATGGATGTAGTTCATCGGAGTTCTCATTTAAAGCTCTACTCAGGAGGAAAGTTATGTTTCACTGACATTGCATGATCCTTTGCAAGAGGGCACACTGAAGGCAGCCTTGGAATAGAGTTCCACGGCCTGAGACACCTCACAGCTGAGAGTTACACTCAGGGCTTGTCTTCGCTATCGGGGTAAGTCAACCTAAGTTACGCTACTTCAATAATATGAATAACGTAGCTGGAGTCAACATAGCTTAGGTCGACTTACCCCAATGTCTTCACTGCGCTGCGTCAACGGGAGATGCTCTCTGGTCAATTTACCCTACACTTTTTGGGGAGCTGGAGTACTGGGGTCGACTGGAGAGCGCTCTGCCATTGATTTGGTGCGTCTTCACTAGACCCACTAAATTGACACCCGCTGCATCGATTGCAGCAGCATTGATCTCCCCGGTAGTTAAGACAAGCCCTCATTTTGGTTGGAAGTAGTGCAAAGTAACAACAGTCATATAGTACATCATTAATATATGGAGATGGAGAGAGAACTAGCCATAAAGAGGCCAGGCACTACATGGAACTTCTCTTCTTTAGCCAGTAGCCCGAGTCACATTCTGTAGCCCCAAAGGTAGTTGTAGAGTTGGAAGTTCCAATGTGGTTCCTCTCTCTACCAGCAGCCAAAAAACCCCTTGTGGCAGTTTTAGAGACTTTCATTTCACTGTCCATTTACATTATAAGATTCTTATAAGGACTGAGTTTTCCCCCAGTATTGAACAGCACTGATCACACAATTGGCTTAACAAAAAAATAAAAAGTAAAAGGATTTACTAAGGAAAAAGATTTATTGATATTGTAAGTCAAGTAACATGAAATTGGACAGTAGATGTTTGTAGGACAGAACCATTACACTGTAAGCTCTTTACAGACACACAATACAGGCCCCTACTCTAAAAGCACCAAGCACAGTTTGGAGCATAAAATAAATGAGTAGTTCTACCTCAACTAGAAGTTATGGGCCTGATGCAGGAAATTGAGTGAAATTCTATGCCCTAACTTATGCAGGAGGCCAGACTAGATGATCATAATGGTTCCTTCTGGCCTTAAAATCTATTACAATCTTAGATCTGCTCCAATAGTAATAATAGTAAGAATGCAAACACTGAGGTTCATGCAAAGTTTGACAAATTCACAAATTGTGCCCAGATTGCAATTTTGCCATTCTTACCACCGCATAGACACTTTCGCAATAAAAATATTGGGGAAATGAACACATTTACCTCAGGACATCATTGTGCTATTTTCAATGTGTAAACCCATGTTAAATGAAGATAATAGCAAAGCTCTGTCTCAGGCTGACTTGTTTTTAGAAGGTGAAAAAACAAAAAGTGGAGGTGAAATAAAAGAGTGTTTAGTTTTCACCAGTCGTGCCAAAGCCGAAGATGTGATTCTACTAAATGCCAGCTTCACTGCTGGTGAGACTTGTTGACTCTTGCTAAGCTTTGTTTATGTGTTCAAATTATTTCAGCCAAAAGCAGTTTTGTCAATAGCACATCCATAGCTGGTTAACCTCCAGGTGAAGATCTTTAAGAACTGAAGGTCCATGAAATCACTGAAATCTAATTATACTGGAAGGTACCGATACATTTTTATATGGAAAAAATAGAATAATCCAGACGTACAAATATTACCTTCCCACTCACCTCAGGCAAGTATTTTTTTGGGACTGTCAAGTATAATAATGATCGGGGATTTATTATTATAACTCATCAACATAAAGGGCATGTGAGTAGATTTTGTACTTTGGATTTATTTTAATGGCATTTTCATAGAACAATCATCTCCTGGAGTTAAAAGGTACCAATGAAGTAGTTCATATGACAGTGGGCATCTGGAAAGATCACGGAGACCACTCAAGATGTCAAAATGTATGCAGCATGAGAGTAGAGTCTGTAAACAGATGTACGCACCATCTCTAAGGTCTCCCGTGTTTGTTTTCATTTCCCATCCCTATCGAAATACAGCCTGCCTTGATGGCACAACAGTGGTACCATGAGAGTAGCTAATCAAGAAAAGCGAAGCTAACAGAGTTGACAAGTTGAACAACTGCCCTAGGAATGCTTCAGTTGGGTAATTTTGTTGTTTGTTTTTTTTAATTATGCGGTTGCTTCTGAAGCATGGATAAAAAAACAACAAAATTTTTTATTGGCTACTAATGATAAAATCACCCTCTGCTTAATTACACATGTAATTGTGAGGGCATAATAATACCATGCTTTGTTTTATTTTAAGCTTCCATTTCACAAATAAAAATAAAGTACATTCTTATGAATGGGTTTCTGTCTCTCACTTCTCAACACATCCAGGTCAGGCAATAACACAGGGAGTTCTGTAATTTGCTGTTGGCATAGGCCACATAGGTGCTGGAACTAGGGGCACTGGGGTGCTGCCACACCCCCTGGCTTGAAGTGGTTTCCATCATATACAGGGTTTACAGTTTGGTTCGATGGCTCTCAGCACCCCCACTATACAAATTGTTCCAGCACCCCTGATAGGCCAATAACAAATTACTATCCCCCAGTGCAAGAATGAAGAAAGGAAGAAATTCTTCCACAGAGGGATGTTGTTGAGGCACAGTGTCTCCAGGGGCTACTGCTATAATCTACTCATCATCCCTAGCTCAGGACTGGGCAAAAAGGCACAATCTAGCACTTAGATTTACAGGAACTCCTCACTTAAAGTCGTCCCAGTTAACGTCGTTTCATTGTTATGTTGCTGATCAATTAGGGAACATGCTTGTTTAAAGTTGCACAATGCTCCCTTATAACGTCGTTTGGCAGCCTCCTGCTTTGTCCACTGCTTGCAGGAAGAGCAGCCCATTGCAGCTAGCTGGCGGGGGCTTGGAACCGGGGTGGACCGGCAGCCCCCCATTAGCTCCCCATTCCCTGTGCGGCAGCCAGCCACCCAGCAGGCTATCAGTTGCTGGCAGTTCAGCTGTCCCTCTCCACACTGCCATGTGCTGTTCCTGCCCTCTGCCTTGGAGCTGCTCTCCAGAGTCTCCTGCTTGCTATGTGGGGGAGAGGGGGAAAGAAGGGGGCTAATGTCAGGGTGTCCCCCACCACCCAGCTCCTGCACCCCGCTTTCCCCATCTTCCATAGAGCAGGGGGGACACACAACAGGGCTCAGGACAGAGGGAGCTTCCTGGCAGCAGCTGCCATCTCAGCTTGCTGATTAACTTAAAAAGGCAATGTACTTAAGAGTGGGGTCAGCATACTTAAAGGAGCAATGCGCATCTCTCTCTCTCATACACAGGGTGTGTGTCTCTGTCTCTCTCTGCCATGCTGTCTCCCCTCCCTCCATTCGTGCTGCCTTGTAGAGTGTGAGGCTACATTAACAACAATGAGTTAACCCTTGAGGGCTCAGCCAATTGCTAGATCATCATTTAGCACTAAGGCATCCCCTGGGAAATATCCCACCCTCTGACTTCATCACCTCAACCAAGCTTCACAATCATCATCACTGTGTACCAGTATTAAATTGTTTGTTTAAAACTTATATATATATATATATATATATATATATATATATATATATTAGTCTTTGGTCTGGTGAAAAAATTTTCCCTAGAACCTAAACCCCCACATTTACATTAATTCTTATGGGGAAATTGGATTCGCTTAACATTGTTTCGCTTACAGTTGCACTTTTCAGGAACATAACTACAATGTTAAGCAAGGAGGTACTGTATATAGTACAAATGAAATAGAAACCTATATATTGTTCTAGGTACCATTTATATAAGAACATAAGAGCAGCCACACTGGGTCAGACCAAAGATCCATCTAGCCTAGTATCCTGTCTTCTGACAGTGGCCAATGCCAGGTGCCCCAGAGGGAATGAGCAGAACAGCCCATTCCCAGATTCTGGCAAACAGAGGCTAGGGACACCATCCTTGCCCATCCTGACTAATAGCACTGATGGACCTATTCTCCATGAATGTATCTAGTTCTTTTTTGAATCCTGTTATAATCTTGACCTTCACAACATCTTCTGGCAAAGAGTTCCACAGGTTGACTGTGCATTGTGTCAAGAAATACTTCCTTTTGTTTGTTTAATTCATTGGGCAACCCTTAGTTCTTGCATTATGAGAAGGAGTAAATAACACTTCCTTATTTATTTTCTCCACACCAACCATGATTTTATATACCTCTATCATATCCCCCCTTAGTCATCTCTTTTCCAAGGTGAAAAGTCCCAATCTTATTAATCTCTCCTCATATTGAAGTTGATCTATGCCCCCAATCATTTTTTGTTGCCCTTTTGTGAACCTTTTCCAATTCCAATATATCTTTTTTGAGATGGGGTGACTGCATCTGCATGCATTATTCAAGATGTGGGCATACCATGGGTTTATATAGAGGCAATATGATATTTTCTGTCATATTATCTATCCCTTTCTTAATGATGCCCAACATTCTGTTTGCTTTTTTGATCACTGCTGCACATTGAGTGGATGTTTTCAGAGAACTATCCACAATGACTCCAAGATCTCTTTCTTGAGTGGTAATAGCTAATTTAGACCCCATAATTTTAGATGTACACTTTTAGATGTATACTTGGGATTATGTTTTCCAGTGTGCATTACTTTGCATGTATCAACACTAAATTTCATCTTTTTTTTGCCCATTTTGTTGCCCAGTCACCCAGTTTTGAGAGATCCCTTTGTAACTCTTCACAGTCTGCTTTGGACTTCACTATCTTGAGTAGTTTTGTATCATCTGCAAATTTTGCTACCACATTGTTTACCCCTTTTTCCAGATCATTTATGAATATGTTGAATAGTGCTGGTCCCAATACAGACCCCTGGGGTACACCACTATTTACCTCTCTCCATTCCGAACTCCTACCCTTTGTTGCCTATCTTTTAACCAGGTTACTGATCCATGAGAGGACCTTCCCTCAGCCCATGACAGCTTTGGTGAGGGAACTTGTCAAAGGCTTTCTGAAAATCTAAGTACACTATATCCTTTGGATCCCCTTTGTCCACATACTTGTTGACCCCCTCAAAGAATTCTAATAGATTGGTGAGGCTTGATTTCCCTTTACAAAAACCATGTTGACTCTTCCCAAACAAACCATGTTCATCTAGGTGTCTGATAATTCTGTTCTTAAACCTGATACTGAAGTTAGGCTTACTGGCCTGTAATGGCCAGGATCACCTCTGGAGCCTTTTTAAAAAAAACTGGCATCACATTGGCTATCCTCCAGTCATCTGGTACAGAAGCTGATTTAAATGATAGGTTACATACCACAGTTAGTAGTTCTACAATTTCACATTTGAGTTCCTTCAGAACACTTGGGCAGGGGCTGCAGGTTTGTAGAAATTTTGGTGGTGCCCAGAATATGCAGAGCCTGCACCCCTAAACTCTGCCCCCCCCACCTGCCTAAGGCTCTGGGAGGGAGTTTGGGTTGGGGGGAGGAGGTCTGGAGTGCAGGTCCTGAGTGGGGGCAGGATATTGGGGTGCAGGAGGGGTGCAGGCTCTGGGAGGGAGTTTGGATGCAGAAGGCGTGAGAGGTTGGGCTCCAGGAGGGAGTTTGGGTGGGGAAGGGGGTCTGGGATGCAGGCTCTGGATGAAGTTTGACTGCTGGGTGCAGGCTCTGGGCTGGGGCAGGGGGTGAGGGGTGCAGCCTCCATGCTCTGCTACCCCCGGGCACTGCCCTCGCAGCTTCCCTTTGGCTGCAGGGACGCTTGGAGTGGGAGCAGTGCAAGTAGACCCAGACCCACCCCACCCAGGGGCCACAGCGATGGGCCGGTAGCCACATGAAGCTAATAGGCAGGAAGCCACTCAGCTCCACTGCGCTGCCAGTGGTGGTGGTGGGGGGGGCATTCTAAATCGCTCGGGGATGCGCAGGGTGGAGTGCCTGGGGCGGAAGGTCGGGCCAAGGGAGAGACACGGCCTCAAATATTGCTGGAGCCAAGCCCGGGCCAGGAATATTCCTTGTGCCCAGGCACCGCGGGCCCATAGAACTCACCGCCTATGCTCTTGGGTGAATACCATCTGATCCTGGTGACCTATTACGGTTTAGTTTATTAATTTATTTCAAAACCTCCTCTAATGACACCTCAGTCTAGGACAGTTCCTCAGATTGTCACCTAAAAAGAATGGCTCAGGTTTGGGAATCTCCCTCACATCCTCAGCTGTGAAGACTGATGCAAATAATTGGTTTAATTTCTCCACAATGGCTTTATCGTCTTTGAGTGCTCCTTTAGCACTTCAATCGTCCAGTGGTCCCATTGGCTGTTCAGCAAGCTTCCTGCTTCTGCTGTACTTAAAAATTTTTTTGCTATTACTTTTTTGAGTCTTTGGCTAGCTGTTCTTCAAATTATTTTTTGGCCTTCCTAATTATATTTTTTACACTTCATTTGCCAGAGTTTATGCTCCTTTCTATTTTCCTCAATAGAATTTAACTTCCACTTTTTAAAGGATGCCTTTTTGCCTCTCACTGCTTCTTCTACTTTGTTGTTTAGCCACAGTGGCACTTCTTTGGTTCTCTTACTATGTTTTTTAATTTGGGGTATACAATTAAGTTGAGCCTCTATTATGGTGTCTTTAAAATGTTTCCATGCAGCTTGCAGGGATTTCACTTTTGGCACTGTACCTTTTAATTTCTGTTTCACTAACTTCCTAATTTCCATATAGTTCCACTTTCTAAAATTAAATGCTACTGTGGTGGGCTGTGGTGGTGTCTTCCACACCACAGGGATGTTAAATTTAATTATATTATGGTCACTATTATCAAGTGGTTCAGCTACATTCATCTCTTGGACCAGATCCTGTGCTCCACTTAGGACTAAATTAAGAATTGCCTCTCCTCTTGTGGGTTCCAGGACAAGCTGCTCTAAGAAGCATTCATTTAAGGTGTCAAGAAACTTTATCTCTCCATCCCGTCCTGAGGTCACATGTACCCAACCAATATGGGGATAGTTGAAATCCCCCATTATTACTGAGTTTTTAATTTCATAGCCTCTCTAATCTCCCTGAGCATTTCACAGTCACTATCACCATCCTGGTTAGGTGGTTGGTAGTATATCCCTACTGCTATATTCTATAAGTTTAAAAAACAACATAAAGCATCCATCAATCCATCAGCATTCATATTGCACTCGCCATCAGTACCCGGCCTGGGCTGGGGAAGCTAATGATACAACCAGTGGATCAAATTCAGTGACGAGTCCTGGTCACGTGCCACCTGAGAAATGCTGCACATATGATAAGAAGAAGACGATCTCAGCCTTTATGTTCAATAAAACCATATAGATAGTTGATATATCCAAAAGTCCTTTAAAATCTCCACTCTCCATAGAGTCATCCTTCATTATACTTCCTCCCTCCACAAAAACAAATGGCCTTTGCCCTGAACATCAACAGATGAGGCTATTTTGGACCAAAGAGGAGCCAGGATGAATGCCAATCTCAAGCTCTGGACACCTACCTTTTGGCTGTTCCTTCCGTTCAATCTTTTCTTGTTTTTCAGGTTTCTCTTTGTGAATTACTAGAAATACAAAATAGCGACATAGTCATCTCTGTTACATACGCCACAAATCTAACTATTCCTTCAAAATGATAAAGGGAAAGTATTTGCAAGATACGCTAATGGATTTCAGCTCTGAATCACAGATGCTAGCTTCTCATATATAACAGCAATCTTTCTTAAATTTTCCTATTTGCTTACATGTACAACAGAGATATGGATCTTTTTTTCTAACAAATGAGCCTGTTTATGCTTGTGAAAATTGTTGGATCGTGTATCTGCACCGTAACTGACTATTCAGCTTAATCTCATTTGCAGGATTTGGTTTTGCTCCATTGCATAAGCATGCTGCTCTCAGATCCCAATGTGGGAAACTATTTTGACAGCAGCACTTTCTATTCTTAACAGAAAATGGCTCACACATTGCCTTCCAAGCTGTTCTTTATTTTTGGATGTTACTTCAACCACAAAGACGGATTAGCAAGGATACACGTCTGTAATAAGAACATAACATCAGAAGAATAGCTGTTTAAAACACAGTTAGCTGCACATACCTCCTTTAGCAGAGAGACTTGATGCCTGTACATAGCCAGCTGCTGACCCACAAGAGTTTGGATATCAAGAGTTTGGATATCATAGTATCCCAGCTCATAAAGAACTGCATGTAAAAATGCCCACCACCACAAAACCCTCATGAAGGACTAAATTGGTGGCGTTTTATGGAAAAAGGAAGAGACATTTTCTCTCCTCACCTCAATTTTCTGGCAAAAACTAAAATAGAGTCATGCCAAGTGGATGACTTGTCACTTCTGCATGCATATACGTTCCTGCCCTGCTCTACTCGCAATTATTTTTTAGCAAATTTTACTTTATCAGAAGTGCTAAGAAGCAGCACAAATGACATGATTTTCTTGTTTAAATATTTCTTCCTAAAATCATGACTCAGTGCGTATTTCGTTAAACCAAATGTTTGTTGCAAATGTTCCCTAATTTCATCATTTCCTCACATGTGAAAATGTTAGCAAATAAAATGTCAATAACAAGCAAACAATTTTTATTACTACTCACTAGTGTAATGGGAAGAAGTAGAGGACTTTTCAAAGCCACCTAAAGGATTTGGAATCCCAATTTACACTATAATGAACGGGAACTGAGGATGGGATCCAACTTTTAGGTGCCCAGAAAAATCATAGGAACAATATCATGATCCACAAAGCGAAGTTAGGCACCTAGGCTCCCTACACAATGCATGAGGAAAGATAAGTGCCTTAGAATGAATCCACAAAAGCCCACACACTAGTTGGGGAGCCACCTAAGCTAACCAATGGGAGCAGCTGTCAAGAGGGGTGTGTCCTAAATCCTATTCCTCGTTGGGAGACAGCCCCTAAATTTGGGCTGCAGGGAAGTGTCTATTTCTGCTTAGTGAACAGGAACCTCCTGGACTCAGGCAGCTTAGGAGTCTCTTGCAGGAATGAGGAGAGGTGGTGGTGATGAAGCTGCTGCCATCCACCTTATAACTTTTAGCCCAATGACTAGAGCGCTTGCTTGGGAAGTGGAAGCTCGAGGTTCAATTCCTCTGTCTGCCAGAGGTGGGAGACCCCTGTTTAAATCCTAAGGAGAGTTCTCTAACCACTGAGCTACGAGGCGGCCCCACAGCTGACTGTCCCAATCTCTTATGCTGAAGCTGTTCCACTGTGGATGTGGATAAATAATAAAAGTGGTTGGAGCAGGGAGATTGGACCCTGGACCTTCCATCTCCCAGGTGGATGCCTAACCCCTGAGTCATTCTCACTCTCTCTCTGGCCCAATAACTATTTAAGTATTTATCCATAGTGAAACAGTCATTTGGGCCAGAGAGAGAGAGAGAGAGAGAGAACAAGCAAAAGAACGACTCTGTAGTCCGGTGGTCAGGGGAAAAGCTTTCACATGGGAGATGGAGGGATTCCCCACATCAGACTATCCAATAGTTCACAAGTTAGAGCACTCTTCTGAGATGTGGGAATTGAACCCACATCTATCACATCCCAAGCAAGCATCTACTCACGATGTTAAAAGTTTTTAAAGGTGGGCACTGGCACCTCCTCCTCCAGCCAGATTTTGAATGGGACCCAATCCAGTAGGCAACCTCTGAGCACAGCTACCAGACTGGGGCCCGTATGTGACTTAGGCAGACTAATGTCCATCTTTCTTCAGAAGGGGAAATCACTCTGAGGCTTAGTGAGGAGATATACATCCAGACACCTAGAGGGAGGCAGCAGGGCACACGCCTAAAGGGAGAAACATAGGTGTCTAGGGAACTTTTATCCTAAAAACTTAGGTGCCAAGTGAGTTTAGGTGCCTAGTGGGTTTGGCAAGAGTTCAGTGGAACACAGTGGATCCAAAACTGGGACTTAGATGCCTATGTCTGGGGTTGAAGTGCTAAAGTGTCTTGATGGATCTGGGCCAGGGTGTCCAAATCCCTTACGTGGCTTTGAAAACCACATAAGTAATGTACTCTCACAGGCTTTTGGGATTCAGTGTGTGTTTTAGGATGCTCAGTCGTGTAACAAGAAACAGTAAGGTGGTGTCCCCTGTCGTTACCCCTTTTGGCAGGGGTAAGGATATTGAAGCAGTAACAGGACTACATGCTCTTGCATGATGTTTGCATGTGAAAAAAGCAGCAAATTCAATTAAGGTGCACAACTTTTCATAGAGCTGTGCTGCCAGCTTTTGAGAGAAAGTCAGCACAATTCTGCTACTGACAGCTTTCCTACTGGTTGTTCATCCTCTGTGATGCATGAGCTTTTTTCATTTGATGACACTCCTTGTAAATGCTAGAAAGAATAGCTGAACTATGTAGACAGGGTGATGACCATTCATGTGCTTTTTTAGCCATCAATGAAATGGCTGCATATGACCTATTAAGACTACTTAAGGTGTCATACATGTATATAGGAGACAAATCATCCTTCACAAAGGCCCCTTTCACTCCACTTCCCTATGGCATCTCCCTATTTCATGTTTTGGCATCAGAGACCAAAATGAACCTTGAAAGAGACATGCTGAGTACAAAGACACAAATTATGCAGAGAGGGCCTGTTTCTGATTTACACTAAGGCCCATGTACACCCTCATGGTAGGCTGCATAAAGGATCCTTAAAGTAGTTATGAATGTAATTTATGCCCATTTTAAAATCCTTTTGCATTACCAGAGTGGTACAAAGTGACCTTAGCATAAATGAAAAATATGTATGCTTCTGTAGGCCGCAAGGTAAATGGGGGGAGTGCAGACAAATTGGCTCCTTTGTGAGGGATTAAAAGTAGTTTGATGAAGCTGGGCACGTAGCCTGGAATGTGGAAAAGCATTGTGGAAGGCTGGCATAAGCATAATTTGTTGGTTTTTTTTTACAGTAAGCTGAAGGAATGTTCTAATTAGTCTGAGAGTCTTATCCTCCATGCTGGTATCACAGTAGCCTCAGAATATGGTAATCTCAGCTTGTAGAGTTTAGCACTACCTCATATGGAGACGATCAGAGCTATGACTTCAGGCAACAAATTTATCTGGGAAGGGCAGGTGTTGCCAAAATTAAAGTGATCACATTCCAGGGCTGTGGTGATGAGGCATTTTTGACTCCTCAATCACAATGAAGGTCTGCAGCAGTCAGGCCACCTGACTCCACTGAGGCCTTTTGATCTAATACATTTAAATGTCACATTTTCATAAATTAATCAAATTAAAATAAACTCATTGCTTTTTATGGAATCTCTCATGTTCAACTTTAGAAGGGAGGCCTCAAAGCCATATTACATACAATATCTCAAGTTCTACAGACCTGGAGGCCTGGATGGGTAGGTGCCACATTTTTTCACCACTAGCAGGAGTCAGACTAGAATAATGTGAGTATCCTTCTCTTCTAGCATGCTTAAATCATCCACTTAACAAAGCTCTCAGTCTCAGTCTGACCAGGGCTGGGCAGGTGCTAAAATCAAGATTGAGTCTTTGCATAGCAATGCAGTTATGCTACTGGGAGACACATCTGGATTTATATACAGCACTTCTGTATACAAAATTGGGAAATGCCAGGTTTAAGGTTGCCTGTGCAATCTTAATTTGGCCCGCTTGTGCCTAGGGATTATGATATAGCCCTGGATCTAAAAAGGGACTTAGGTATTGTGTGACATGTAGCACCTAGAAAAATGACTGGACTTCACAAAGCTTGAGTTAGGTGCCCAGGCTCCATATAGAATGCATGGGGAGAGCTAGTCATTTAAGAATGGGATCCACAAAGACCAGTGAGCTAGGCAGCTTCCTGCCTATGCTAGCCAATAGCAGATGCCGATGAGAGGGTTGTGTCCTAAACTCTGCCCTCTCTGGGAGTAACGCACCTAAATCCAAACTGCAGGGAGGTGTCTAACTATGCTTGGGATCCACAACTAGGAACCCTCTCCTGGATTTACACAGCTAAGCCATTTTTTGCAAGAAAGACCAGAGGAAGAGGTGGTGATGGTGCTATGGCTTCCCTCATAGCTTTTAGTCCAGTGGTTAGAGCACTCAGCTGAGATGTGTGATCCAGGTTCGATTCTCGTTACGTCTGACAAGGAGAAAAGATTCAAACAGGGGTCTCCCACTTCTCAGGCACATGCCCTAACCACCGGGCTATGGGATAGTCTTGTATAAGTGTCTCTCAATCTCTCTTGTTGAATCTGGTCCACTTTTGATAAATACTCAAACAGTCATTGGGCCAACAAAAGAGACTGACTCTGTAGCGTGGGGGTTTGGGCACCCACATGGGAGAGCCAGGGTCCAATTCCTCTACTCCAATGACTAGTTAAGTATTTATCCAGACTGGAGCAACTTCAACTGGGGGTTGAGAGAGAGAGAGAGAGAGAGACTTTACTAAGCTCTGTGAGATTCAACACCATTGTTTTTCTTTTTGCTGTTCCCTGACTTGCTCACCTTCCAACTTCTGCCACAAAGGAGGTCCCACAGACAGTCTCCTTCATTACACATCCCTAATACATCATTCCCTGAGCACCATCTGTCCTGTGTACTGAATTCTTGACTTTGCAATTTTAACATTCCTTTCATGTAGTGTTTGGTAATAGCTTATGAACAGTAGATATAGGCCCAAAACAGAAACACTGAGCAGGTCCCACAAAACTTTGGGAAGATTACTGATCCAGATATGTTTCAGAGTAACAGCCGTGTTAGTCTGTATTCGCAAAAAGAAAAGGAGTACTTGTGGCACCTTAGAGACTAACCAATTTATTTGAGCATGAGCTTTCGTGAGCTACAGCTCACCTCATCGGATGCATACCGTGGAAACTGCAGCAGACTTTATATATACACAGAGAATATGAAACAATACCTCCTCCCACCCCACTGTCCTGCTGGTAATAGCTTATCTAAGATAAGATCCAAGATCTAAGATCTATTACCTGCTGGTAATAGCTTATCTAAGATAAGATAAGCTATTACCAGCAGGACAGTGGGGTGGGAGGAGGTATTGTTTCATATTCTCTGTGTATATATAAAGTCTGCTGCAGTTTCCACGGTATGCATCCGATGAAGTGAGCTGTAGCTCACGAAAGCTCATGCTCAAATAAATTGGTTAGTCTCTAAGGTGCCACAAGTACTCCTTTTCTTTTTGATCCAGATATGTTTCAGCAATCCTGATTCAGCATTCAGGATCATCTCTATAATAAACGTACATTAGGACCCCCAAATCTAAACACTTCTGCCAAGGAATGTGCTCCCTAGCTGGGGAGATAGGTTGGCTGCCACAGAGCTGTGGAACTTGGAAACCCAGAGAGCCCTGTTTCTCAAGCTCCCCACCAGCCTGGCTGCCGAGAAGCTGCAGAGCTCAGGGAGGCAGGTTGATGAGCTGTGAGGAAACCAGGCTGTCTGGCCGGCCAGCCTGTCTGGTTTCCATCAAATGTTTTTTTAAAAGATTTTCGATCAGCTCTAACATTAAGGTTGCAAAGTCAAACCCTCAGAAGTTAAAAAAAGCCAGCATTAAGCCTTACTGTACAGCCTTAACTAAACTCCTTTGTGCATGTGCCATTATCATATGGTCTTCAATTATATGATCACATCCTTTTTTGGGGGGAGGAGGTGAGGACAAGATCCCTAACTCATCCAGTGCACAATATATTCCGAAAATTAAGAAGCAAAAGCAAAACTAGTTCTGCTGCATTGGCACAAATTGTGATTTCCCATAGTTTGGGCAAATCTGGCTGATTTCCATGTGAATAGAAAAAAAGCACTTTTTATTTTCCTCCTGCCAAATTTCAAATCCCAAACCATGGAGATGTTGGAGCTGTTGAGAAAAACAGCTGGAATGTGTTTTTAATAATACTGACAACATTTCCTCTGTCCCTAGTCTCATTTTTTGAAATTGCTTAACCATTTTTGATGAAACTTTAAAAGAAAATTTAGACTGGGGCAGAGAGCAAGCATGGAAAATTTCATCCTGAATGGTTAAAGTGTGGCAAACTTATAAGAAATTGAGCACAGGAGCTTATAATGGAAAGTGTTAAGACTCCTTAACTACATACTATTCTAGGCATTGCTACCCACTTCACCGACAATAAAAAACAGATGTGAGGAGCACATTTCTGATATTTTCCAAAACACTAATCATCTGATAGTATATTTAATCTGCACCAAATGAAAAAAGAAAGTGCAGGGGAGTCAAATTTAGTCTGCTCAGTTAAAAAGTTGGAGAGAGTGTTGGGTAACATTTCTGTGCCCAAAATGAGCAAGGGAAAAAAGAGATTAAGGAGGCATTAATTCCATATCTTAGCAAAGTAAAAATAGTTCTCAGCTCAGTAAGACTTAGGGTGATGAGTGTAGTACTGATGAAGAAGAGAATGTTTGCGCCAATTAACTGAATTAGGGCTTGTCTACACAGGGAAATCCAGGAAATGCTGAATTAACTAAAGCTGTGAAGTTAAAGCACATTAAACCTCTGTGTGGACACTCCATTCAGAAGTAAAGCAGCCTTAGTTCATTATAGCTTCTTTCTTCAAGATTACAATATAGTGAACTAAGGCCACTATACTTCTGAATGAGAAGGTGCACACAAGGGTTTAATGTGCTTTAATTTACATGCTTTAACTTCAACACCTTTAGTTAATTCATCTTAACATTCCTGAGTGTGTCTGTGTTGACAAGCCCTATAATGAAGCTTAAAATTAGATTTGTGCGAAAGTCACACTGAATGTGAAACCCACTTGAACTGAGACTTGGGCTTGAGGACAGATTCATTTGTGAACCGCAGTGTATTCTTAACAAAAGTTTATGAATGTACAGTCTTGAATTTTGTAGCTGTGCATACAACTTCAGAACCTCTCTCTCTCCTCCCTTTTTAAATTAAAGTGAGAGCCCTCTTGCTCTTTTCCCTTGGGTTACCTCCAACAGGTGTTCAAGTGGAGCTGGTTGCCAACTCCTAGCATGTTATTATTCAGAGGGTTGCCAAGTTACGGCTGATGTCTTCTCCTCAGTCCTAACATATCATCTTATGAAGAGGGTAAAAATTCCACTGTCATCATAGGAAGTGAGAATAAAGAAAGACCCACTTCTCACACTTGGCTTTATTTGAGGTAGCCTCATAATCCTTAGCATAATTTCTACTTAAAAAGCAAACATACCCAATGCCTAATATTGTGGTTATGAGCTTCCATGTTAAGGATTATTGATGTTCTTTCAATCCCACCCAAGTAGAGCCTGCTGGCAGTGAGAGCAGGAGTGGTCACTGTGCTCCTGCTTTTCTGCTTTGGGAGCCAGAGGGAAAATGGCAACAGCCCATTCTGGTGGATCCTAAAAAGGGCTGATGAGGGAGAGAAAAGCCCTGGTTCCCTTAAAGTCCTTAGGAGATGGGAGTGGGACATCAAGTCCCAGGAAGAAGGTACGGGAGGATGAGAAGTAAGAACATAGAATCATAGGACTGGAAGGGACTTCAAGAGGTCATCTAGTTCAGTCCCCTGCACTCATGGCAGGACTAAGTATTAGTTAGACCATTCCTGACAGGTGTTTATTTAACCTGCTCTTAAAAATCTCCAATGATGGAGATTCCACAACCTTCCTAGGCAATTTATTCCAGTGCTTAACCACCCTGACAGTTAGGAAGTTTTTCCTAATGTCCAACGTAAACCGCCCTTGCTGCAATCTAAGCCCATTGCTTCTTGTCCTATCCTCAGAGGTTAAGAACAATTTTTCTCCCTCCTCCTTGTAACAACCTTTTATGTACTTGAAAACTAAAACTGTTATCATGTCCCCTCTCAATTGTCTCTTTTCCAGACTAAACAGAACCCAGTTTTTTCAATCTTCCCTCATAGGTCATGTTTTCTAGACCTTTAATCATTTTTGTTGCTCTTCTCTGGACTCTCTCCAATTTGTCCACATCTTTCCTGAAATGTGGCACCCAGAACTGGACACAGTTCTCCAATTGAGGCCTAATCAGCGTGTAAGAACATAAGAACATTTGTTTCTTAAAATAAAGACAGGTTTAGCCTGTGATGTTATCTGGTTTATCTTCATTTGCTATAGTTGCATACTGCTACTCTGTGTTCTGCAAAAGAATTCCTCTCTATGAGCCAGGTGTTACCAGGGCACTTACCCAGCTTCTGAGTTTGATGCATTTGAAATTTAGTGAGTTTCCTGTCCATGTCATATAAAAAGATCTTCAGTTTTTGTACACCCATTATTTCATCACAACTCCAAATCAGAGTTGGATTGAATTATTTTCATAAATCAGAATGGTCTTGTAAAGGAAAACTCTATATGGATGCTCTCAGTATTCTTACTATACAGCCTTTCTCTGATATTTTGAGTTATATCATTCCTAGGGAGTGTGCCCCACAACATGGGTATATTCCATAGAAGGACAACACAAGCTAATGCTAATTAATAAATACTGTGACATCATTCCTTAAATCACTGTGTTGTTAAGGCACTACTGTCAGAATTAGTGCTTTGTTGGATCTGTTCTCAGATTATTTCCTTTCCTTAAAATACATTTTTCTAAGTACAGTAACTGTATTTTACTTTGCAATTAGTAGTTTCAGAAAAGATTTGAATAAAATGTTTAATTATAGGCAGAGCTAACAGTGTAAGGTTGCCTAATACTTTTCATTATAAGACCCTCTTTTCAGTTGCTTTTGGCTTTCCCAGATTTTAAATATTGGGCTGAAATTTTCCATGCCAAGTGTCTGTTTCGGGCTGAATTTGTTTTTGAAAATTACAGAAAAATTGGTTCAGTTGTTTCAAAAATGAGATTATGGAAAAATATATTTTTTGCCCATAATAAACAATTCTTACAACCATTTTTATTGAGAAGTTGTAATGCCTCCACATGCTTCAGAAGAGAGACTTGAAATTTGGCAGAGAAATTTCCCTAGTATCAGAAAAGTGTTTTTTACTCTCTCCATGAAAATTCACAGAAATTTGGCCAAGTTATAAACCTCTGAAAATTGCCACTTGCACATGCTCCGGATAGGTTTGTTAGAGGCCGACAGCAACATTTTCCAAAGATTTCTATGCACTGAACATGCTCCAGCCTGGGGCTGCAGAATCTGAACAGGACTTTTCTGGCTGCCAGGGAACACTGTGGTGATGGCCTTAAGAACTGAGAGTAGGACATCTGTCTTTCCTGTAACATAGTATAGGATCTTGTCAGTAAAAACTGAATTTTAATACATATATAAGAGACCAAATCAAGGCTGCCTGGGCAATTTTTATTTTGACAATTTTTAAACTTCTGAGTGCTTGACTATGCAACCCTAATGTTCTTTTAATGTAGGTTTTTATGTAATTATATTTAGAGACAGATGAATAGGTAGACTGGGACCTACTGGGGTCAAGGAGTATGTCTTTATATGTGGCCATACAATGCATAGTTCAATAAGGCCCTGATCCTGATTAGGAACTTCCTGAATGCTCCTGCAATATACTATAATTTTAATAAATATGTATCTATTACAAACACATATATAAATAGTAATTACCTTTTGGTGCTGGTTTTTCAAGTTTTTCTTGTCTGTCAGGCTTGTCTTTACGAATTTCTGGAAAGAACACAATTAATAGTTTATTTATTGGGAGGGGGGAATTCTCAAATAGCAATAAAGAAAATAAATTATAATAAAAATAACAAATAAATTATAAAGATATATTAAAGATTCATGGATCTCTAAGCTGTATATTTGGAATCATATGTGACAAAATTCTGGCCATATACAAAGCATTATTCTCAGTGTGTACTATTGTTTCTATAATTCATAGCTTTTTATTCATTCCTAAGAGTAGGAAAAAAGTATATCCTTGTTTTAAAAAAGATCTTCCTGCCATTAACTATTATGGATTCTACACTGTAAATACCTTGCAAAAGGTCACACTTAATATTAAGTGCCTACAATAAGGATTCAGTTTTAAATATAGTAAAACAGTTATCAATTGTTTTGTTTATATGTAAAACTATATAAAAATACATAAAGAGTTATTGAATTTCAATAAAAATGTTCTTTATTTAAAATTTAAATAAATAAATAAATAAATAATAAATTTCTTTATTTAATATTTAAAATTCAAGTTCCTTTGGGGAGAGAATGTAGTTTTTCTGTAGTTTGGATAGGCCCAGGACACCATTAACATTGGAATAACAGGTAATAATGCTTAGATTTTATAACATATAATAGAGATAAGTTTCCAGAATTGAGGGTGGGAGCCCATAGCAATGACTAAGGATATAATATTATACCATAATGGGCAAACTTTACTGATTAATTTAAATTAACTGATTGCCTGGGACTTGTTTTGATTGAAAGAGTGAAATGCAGTGATAGGAAATTCAAAGAATGCAGCTGTATCAAAATGTTTAACTGGTCTGTCTTCAAGTAACTTTTAAAAACTGCAATTAATGTTGAATGGTTGATTATGGTATTCTAATTTATACATCCCAATCAGGACAGGCTATACTACATTTTACCTCACTTTTCTATAATAACTCAATGTACTGATCCTAGAATTATTCCAACACTATCAAATCTTAAAAATCATGGGCAGCTTGTTATTGTACTTGTCTTGCCCACACGAAAACAAACACAAATTCAGAAATACCTCACAACATTACCTTTTGTGTGCTTTCCAGTATTTACACTGGAATATCTCCTTCCCCAAAATCGGCATCTTCCACTTTTTTGGAGGGCTTGTATAACCCAAATAACAAAGCACAGCCCTGTTCCACAGTCTACATCATAGGTGCTGAGTCTGTGGGTTCTCCAGGGCTCAAACACCCACAGGAAAAAATAGACAGTGCTCTGCAACCACCAGCCACAGGTGTTCAGCAGGGCCCTGGGGCTGGCCACCGATCAGCTGTTCAGTGGCTGACGGGAGGCACTTGGGGGAGGGTGGAGAGGAACCAGTGGCGGGCGGGTGGGGGGGGGCTTGTGGGAGGGGCTGAGAGCAGCGAGTGAGGGGCAGGCGGGGGGAAATCTGGGGGAGGGGGCAGAGCAGGGTGAGAAGAGGCTGAGAGAGGGTGGAGCCTCAGGGAAGGGGTGGAGTGGGGTGGGGCCTCCATCAGGAAAAATAAGAGTCAGCACCTATGGTCTACATAATTTAGAAGTTAACTTATTTAGGAACTGGACTGGAGAATGCTTGTGTAAAACCGACAGACCCTGGTTGTCGGCATGCGGGATCGAACCTGGGACCTCAGTGCACGAGCCTCTACTGCATGAGCTAAAAGCCATTTGGCTCTTAGCTAAAGCTGTAAAGCAGACTCATTAATCACTCTCTCTCTAAGTGCCACTAGATGGGACAGAACACCACACCCAGGAGGTGTGTGGATTACACTTGCTTGTCTTAATGTTTTAGCAATTGTCTGCTCTCCTGTCAGCCCACAAAATACTGTGCCATTTCTTCTGTAGAAAATTTCATCTGTGACTTTGGTACTATACTAGTGCCATAGGCCTTATACTTGATTTAATCTCATGTATCAAAAATACAGTCATGGCAAACAAAGAACATTTATATTATACAGACTTTAAAAACAGATCTCCCCCTCCCGCCAAAAATCAAGGTTCTGGTTACTAACATTTGGGAAAAAATAACAAGTGATATCAAAGTGGACATTTGGTAAACCCATTAAGACTATGTAGACTGTCTGCATTAGTGTAATATGAGCACACCTCCTGGAATGTGAAACTGATATCAGACACTAGACCAAATTAATCCCTGATGTGAGCAGGTGCAGCTCCTACTAAAGTCAATGGGAGGTGCATTCCCTTACTTAAGGGCTAGGTTTGGCTTTCCTGTTTCCAATTACAAGATCACTCACCACAAAATTAATCCAACAGAGAGACAGAGGAAAAACATACTGCATCTACTGGACAGTAAGGGCCCAATCTACTGCTCTCTGAAGTCGGTGGGAGTCTTCACATTGTCTTCAATAGACACTGGTTCAGGACATAAAATCATGTGCATTGCTTAATAGGGTAAATGGGAAAGATAAATTTCTATATTCCATTAACAGATTGATCAGCTGCACAGATTTGTCCACAGACTGCTGAGAATCAATACCTATCCGTCAATTTCAAGCAGTATTTGCTATCTAAAATAGAGTTTGTGCCAGGTTTAGAAAAAAGCATAATAGTGCTATATCACCAGTCTCTACTGCCTTCAAATCAGCACTCATTCTTTCTGCAAAGAGGTAGAAATACCTATTAAAGAGTAGCAGAGGCTTAGATATGCATCATTACCACTCATCAATGCAGAGTAAGAAGATAAATTGCCATAAGATCCCAATGACCCTGTACTTCCCGTCTTCATATGTAGAGCATTTTGGTTGTTCTATAGGCCTCCAAATTCTGACTACAAAGAAATCACCCAATTTATAGACTCCTGTTACAACTGAGTTTGGTTTGTTTTCTTCCTGCAATTATATCAGTATTTTTATCCCAGTCACTGCTATTGTCGACAAGTTTTACACATGGCTTCTAGTGCATTCTAACTTCTAGTGCTTCTAAAATGCTTCTAGTGCATTTTTGGCTCTGTTTTTACAGTTCTTTTGATAATTTAATGTACATGAAAGATGTTAATGGACACCATTAGAGACATGAAATCTTTGAATCTATCCACAAATTAAGGACAACAGGGACAGAAGGTATTTAACTTGCTCCACACAGTCTCATCACTGTCTCTCAGTCCTCACATGTAGGGACTATCTCTAATCATGAGAGGATACAAAGGATGAATTACCCCATCATGTTTACAGAAGAAAAAAATTATAAGTTAAAGTAACACCCACCCTAATTTAACTTACATCTTCTTGCTTTTGTGATTGCTCCTCAGCATGTTAGATCAAGTGAGACTTCCTTACGTGTACAGGATTGTCTACACCAGACCTTTTTTTCTCAAATTAACAAAAAGTAGGCAACACACTGATAAAGTCTAGTGCAGACAATTCCCCAAAAGTTGTTTCCAAGATATATTTATGCTTTCCCCTAAGCTAAGTCTAGTGTAGATATACTCAGGGAGAGCAATGGGGATCCACAAAGAGACTTAGGCATTGCAGTGCTTAGAAAATTGCTGGAACACCACAAACCTGACTTAGGTGCCTAGTCTCCCTATAAAATGCACAGGCAGAGACAGGCTTCTAAGGTTACGTCTACACTACAAGCTAGGGATCTGGTTCCCAGCTCATGTAGACATACTCATGCTAGCTCTCATCTAGGCTAGCATGCTAAAAAAAGTGGCGTAGCCACAGTAACACGGGCAGCGATAGCATGGGCTAGCCGCCTTCAGGACATACCCACAGAGCTCAGGTGAGTTGGCCTTGGGGTGGCTAGCCTACGCTGCTGCTTGCTCTGCCTGTAGTACTACTATTTTTAGCTCAATGCAAGCTATCATGAGGATAGCAAACTGGGAATCACTCCCCTCGTTCCTAGTGCAGATGTAGCCTAAGCATGGAATCCACAAAACCAGGACACTAGGCAGGGAGCCGCGTAAGCCAGACATGGGAGATGCTGATGAGAGGGATGTATCCTAAGCCCCACCTCTCTCATGGAGACACACAGGTCCAGGCTGCAGGGAGGCACCTCTGTCTGCATGCAATCCACAGCCAAGAACTCCTCTCCTGAAGTCAGACAGTTTAGGCATCTACGCCATTTCTTGCAAGAATAAGTTAGGTACCTGCCTAACTCCACCTACACCAGCCGGGAGCAGAGGTAATGACACCCTTATACCCTTTAGCCTAATGGTTAGGGTATTCAATCTGGACATGGAAGATCCCAGTTTAAATTCCCTCTCTGATTGATAAAGAGAAGGAATGTGAACAGAGACCTCCCACCTCTCAGGTGAGTGTTCTAACCACTAGACCAGTATTTTGCAGCCTGGCGGATCACAAACCCCAGGGGCCTTGAAAGTGCATGGCCAGCATGACTCCATGCCCCATGAAGCTAATTTACATGCTTGAGCCCCCCACAGTGGGGCTTGGGGCTGTCAGTCCCAGCTAGCCAGGCTGTGATCCCCTCAGTGGCCGGGCTCCAGGTTGTGAGCTCTGGGCAGCAGGGCTCGGGCTCGAGCTGTCAGCCCTGCAGTGGGGTTCAGACTGTCAGCCCCCATGAGGCAAGGCAAGGCGAGGTGAAGCTTGAGCAGCAGCTCAACCCTCCCCCCCCCACGGTGGGACTCAGGCTTCAGTCCCAGGTAGTCGGGCTCGGGCTTCAGTCCTGGCAGCAGAATTTTGGCTTCAGGCAGCAGGGGCTTAGGGAGGAAGCACCACCTCCACCCCCTGACTCACCTCAGGAGTCCACCCAGCCTGTGGGTCAATACACCTTGGTGCCCAATACTGGCTCCATCTCCGAAGATCTTCACATGTGCCTTCTGTGAGGCCCCAGCAAGTTGAAGGCTGGCCCTGCTTCAAGCAAACATATAACTTCACAGAACCACATGCTGCTTCCCGTCCAGACAGCGTTGTTGTTCTTCGTGGCTAGCAAATAGTACTGTATGCACATTTTTCAGTGAGACCTTCTTGTGCAATGGATAAATTTTTAAAGACAGCTCAACCAAGTAC